TTAATGACTCATCTACAAACTTTATTCTTTCAATCATCTTCACCTCCAATCCACTTCACCAACCCATTCCCGTGATCTACTTTGTTTTCAACAGATAACCTCATCATGTATTCCATTATGCGAATCAAGGCCATCAGATGCTCACTTTCATTTTCCTGCCCTTACCCCGCCCTGCCACGTAGCTCCTAATCTCCTTTTTTGGGTTGTTGTTGTTGTTGTTTTGTCTTACATGAATAGACATAGCTTGTCCAGTTCAAGGCTAATCCATCTATTTATGCTTCGGAGCCCAATCTCTCCTACCTCTTGGGGACTTTTCTCCATTGGTTATCCCCTTTCTCATCTATATCCTCAACCACTCTCTCTCTCTTTTTTATTGGCTGCTTCCCATCAGCATTTAGATCTGCTCGACTTTCTCCCATTAAACAAACAAACAAAACTCTTCTTTGACTCTGTTCCCAACTGGCACTCACCCTATTTCTTGCCTTCCATCGTCAAGGAAGCTTTATCAAAAGTGAGCAGTCTACACTTGCTGTCTTCATTTCCTCACCTCCCATTCAAAACTCAGCCCTGCCCTTTCCCCCACCCAGTCTGGCTTTTCTGACCCCAGAACACCACTGTTAACTGCTCTTGTTAAGGAAACCAATGACATCCTGATTGCTAAACCTAACGAACAATCTGAAGTCTTGATTTTCCTGGAACTCTCTCTGCTGCAGATAACATAAAGGATTGCCCTCACTCCACTTCTGTCCTCATGCCTCTCTTGAAAGTGCCTACTCCTTGGCTTTGGTCATGCTGTTCCTCTCCTGATTCTCCTCATTCCTCTTGGTTACTCCTTCCTGTGCCTCTTTGTGGACTTTTCCTCTGCCACCCCTTAAATGTTGGTCTTTGCCAGGATTTTTGTCATTCTATACCTTTCCCCCAGATCATCTTATCCATCCCTATGGTCTTATCTACCGTGCTGATGACTCCCTACTCCACAGTTATAGCCTCAGACCTCTCTTGGGAGCTCCAAACCTGAACACTCAATTGTGACTAAACATGTGGGGACATGTATGTCCCACAGGTACCTCAGACCCAAGCTCCGTGTGTCACAAATTCATCTTCCTTACTCAAATCTGCCCCCTATCCTCTCTCTACGTCACTACCGCCATCTTGGTGATGCAGACCTCTATCCACACAGTTGTCCAGGCCTGAAACTTGGGAGTCACCCTAGACTCTTCATTCAAGCAGTTGCCAAGACTTTTAAGTCTGTCTTCTAAGTCTCTGGTATGTCTTTTCTTTTTCTTTTTTTCTTTTAAGATTATTTATTTATTTGAGAGAGAGAGAGACAGATAGTGAGAGAGAGCATGAGCAGGGAAGAGAGGGAGAAGCAGGCTCCCTGCTGAGCAGGTTGCCTGAAGTGGGGCTCGATCCCAGGCGCCTGGGATCATGACCTGAGCCCGAAGGCAGATGTTTCACCGACTGAGCCACCCAGGCGCCCCGGTATGTCTTTTCTTTATATTACTATAGCATGCTAATCCAGACTCTCCATCTTCTTTCTTTAAACTATTTAAATAGCTTCTCAACTAGTCTTCTGCCTCGTGGTCTACTCCCCCTTTTAATCTGTTCTCCACACTGGGGGCTAAAATAAGTTTTCTGTAATGCGAATCACATCACATCACTCCTCTCTGCTTCAAGCCTGATATGACTCCCCACTGTTTACTGGTAGAGTCTAAGCTGCTCTTTATGCCTTACAAGGGCTTTCACAACCTGGCCCTGCCTACCCGTCCAGTCTTATCTCCTCCTGATGACCTATAATGCTTTCCTTATCCTCGTGCCCAGAGAATAGCAAACCAAACACCCCACAATGCCTCCATGCCTTTGGACACACTGTTCTCTCTGCCTAGAATGACCCCATGTCCTCCCGCCAAACTCTTATTCAACTTTCAAAATTGAGCTTGGAGTAGGTCGGGAGAATTACACAAGAAACGAGTAACAGTAATTTGCCTCTGCAGAGAACTGGGTGGCTGGGGCAGAGGTGGAAGGCCAGCTTGCCACTTCCATTTTGCATCCTTTTGCATGTATTGTACTTTGTACCAGACATCTGAATTGCTTACTTGAAACATAAATACAATGTGATCGTTAAAAAAAAAAAAAAAAAAGACCTAGGGGTCATGTTCTCTAGAAAGTTGTCCCCCCGCCATTCTTTCCTTCAGTACCTTCTGTAATTCCCCCCTGCCCTTCTTTGTGCTACCTCTGGGCCTCCTATGTGCTCCTGGAAGTAAAATAATCACGTTGGTTGTTATTTCTCTTTTAAGCTGTCTGGGCCCCCAGCCTGTGAGCTCCTTGAGGACAGAAGCGTATCTTATCTCTTGTTATTTCCCCAGGATCTAGCACAGTGATCCATGACTGTTTATCCAATGAAGAAATGAGTGGAAAAATGAAGTATGGGATGCCCCAATGATAAAACAGGGCTCCCAAGCCTGTGTTCTTTCCAGATCTCTCTCCCTCTGTCCCTTTGCCATGTGTCAAATCTAAAAGTAATAACTGACATTTATTATTACCCATCACCTTGTCAGTTTGGATTTAGCATCACCCAAGGCTGCCCAGATCCATTCAAAGTCCCTCCTACCTCAAGTCACTGGAAGAGTTGATAGGTATTTATATGTCTTATTCTGAGTCACTGAATCACAGAATGGAATAATTTGTCTAATACCTGCCGTTTATTGAATACCCACATGGGTTAACCACTGTGCTAGGTGCTTTTCTTTTCTTTTTTTTTTTTTTTTTATACATGACACTGTCGCAGCATATGCTGCAAGGTAGATATTTTGATCCCCGGTTTACAGATGTGGAAATTGAAACTAGTATGGTTAAGCACTTTGCCCAGGGTCACGTTTCTAGTAAGTGGTGAGGCTGAGATTTGAACTGAAGTCTTTGGACTTCAAAATTCGTGCTTGATTCATACACAACACTGAAGGAAAGGGGGCCTCTCCACTGCTTTGACTGTTCTGCAAGGGGGTCTCCAAAGTTGGCTTGAAATCCTCAGTGCCTAGTGCTCACTGCTCCCCCAGGCAGCCCATCCCATCTTAGGCAGTTTTGACCATTTTAAAAGCTCTTGTTTGTGGTAAGCCAAAATTATAAACGAGCTGAACAAGACACAGCCAGGAATAGTCTTTGGCTCACTGCTAGAACTTCCCTTCTGGTCTGACACCAAACCCTTCCGTTTATTCAACTAGTTACAGGCTCATCTCAACATCTCAATGGTATAGGAGCATCCAGCCTATACCCTGCCATCTCGTCTACAAGAAAATAATGGGAAACTTTGTCCAATGCCTGGATGAAATGAAATCCACTCTAGCTATCACATTCTTTGATCTGCCAATCTAGTAACCAGATTAAAAAAAAAAAAGGAAATGAAGTCTGGGAGGGATATTTGTTTTTTAACGGGGCAATTTGTCAATGACTCAAAGTAATGAGTTTCTAGCGGCAGACTTTCAGCCATCATTGACAAGCCATCAGGAAGATGGTTTTTGGGCAGTGGGCTTCCTACTGCTCTTCAAATGACGTCTAAATAGGCAGAGCTCCCCCATTTTCATTGCTTTGAATTGCACAGCACTGTTGTTTGCACCTGGTTTTATTTAGGCTTCTATTTCAGTTTTCTATTTAATTTTTCTTTGACTGTGTTCTGCTCTTGCACATATTTTCTGTGTCTGGTTCATTCCCGAAATTTCTACATCCTCCTTCCAAACACACGCGTGTTGCACGTGCATGTGCGCGCTTGTGCACAAACAGACACGCGCGCACACACACACACACACCCTCCTTGTCCATTGAGAGTCAGTGCATTACAGCCCCTCCTTGGAAGCCTTCTCTGATGCCCCCACACTGGGTAACTGCTTCTCCTCCTTCTGTGTAATGTAGTGGAAAGTGCCCACAGTGCCCATCACAGAGTAGATCCCCAGTAAATGTTCCTTCCCTTCTTCCCTTTCCCCCATGGATATCTCTACGCCGGTGTCGATCACGCCATATTGTATTTTCTTGTTTACTTGTCTGGCTTCATCCCTCAATTCTGAACTCATGCATGCATTCATTTGACAGATATTTATTGCAATGTCTACTGTGTGTGTGCAGATCGTTGTTCATGCTTAGAGCTGGGGATACAAATAATTTCTGAACATTGTACTTCTGCCATGTCTTTTTCGTTGTTGGATTCATAGCACCTTGCGTAGCGCCTGGCAAATAAAGAGTGTTCATTAAGTGTTTAAGAGAAAGCATGTCCTCATCCGGGTTCCTCCAAGTGTGGTCCTTGTACCACTTGCATCTGGATCACGGAGGGCTGAGGGGTGCAGGTTAGATGTTGAACGTGAGTTCCTGGATCTCACTCTAGAGCTACTGAGTCAGAATCTCTGAAGGGCGGGCTGCAAGAGTCTGCATTTCCATCTAGTTCTCCAGATATTTCTTGCACACTAAAATTTGGGAACTGTTACAAAACAGGAGAGGGGGGTAGAACTAATGCCTATTTTTGAAAAGTGCAGCTAAAACCGACTGAATCATTTTTAATGCCTCTGACCGCGGCAGGAAAATTTAGTAAAGGGGGGAAAAGGGCATTAGTTAAAATTCTCTGGGGAGGTTTTTTAAATAGATGGAATATTCAAGTCATTACATCTAAGGCCTTCTAAAGTCTAAGATGAAAAGTAGATTTATTGCTAGTAAAATCTAATCTCAATTTAGGTCAAATTTATGACGCCGGAAAGTTTTCTCTTTTACAGAGCTCCAAGTACACTTGATAGTATAGATATAGGGACTTTTTGTCTAACCTGACAGTGCGATATATCGATTTCCATATTATAGACTTGAATCGTAAATTTGTTATTTTAAGTTATGGGAGGGTATACTACAACTGTATTTGTGCTTTGACCCTGATTATATATATACCTGATTTATCAGCTGGCCTACATTAGGAATGATGGTAGTGCTCATTCTCCATGAAAACTTGATCCATTTTACTGTTTTATGCCATACTTTCCAAGAGCATTCTGTTATTAAATGTGTTCTTTGGTAATAATTAGGTATGTAAGAGCTGAGTCAGTCGAAGACAGCATAGGTTCCCTTGCGAGAAGACTTGCAAAGTTGCATTTTACGACCATGTTCCTGGGGCCTGGAACTTTCCATTTTGGGTTTGCCTTGACATGATCCTCATAGTCAAGAGCTAAGGTGTCTATGCATCAGGGCACAAACCTCTTAAATATACACAGGTATGTGTTTCTGCTTCCTTCCCTGTAACTTTAATTTTTTGTAAAATTTAATTTAGGGTTTTGTTGGTGGTGTCATTGCTGCTAAGATGGATCGCAAACAGCTGCCCTCACGGTGTCCACTGGGCACCGTGTCCAACGATCTGAGAATTCTGCAAGGCAATTCCTCCCTGGAGCTGAGAGAGTACTGGGACTGGCAGTTTGATGGGGATAATGATGATCAGGAGAAATTACTGAAGGAAAGCTCCACACTCTACGTGGGGAATCTTTCCTTTCATACTACTGAAGAGCAAATATATGAGCTCTTTAGTAGATGTGGTGCTATCAAGCATGTATTTATGGGCCTGGATAAAATTAAGAAAAAGGCATGTGGTTTCTGTTTTGTAGAGTACTATAACAGAGTTGATGCCGAAAATGCCATGTGGTTCCTAAACGGGACCCGCCTAGATGATCGTATTATCCACACAGATTGGGATCTAGGCTTTAGAGAGCGCAGACAGTATGGCCACCGACCTGAGGGCCAAGTAAGAAATGCTTTTTGTGAAGATTTTGATGTTGGTAGAGGTGGCTCTGGAAAACAGGCTCAGGCCCGTGATAGAAGAGGAATCCATTAGTGAAAAACCTGCAGCTCTGGCCCCTGGAAAAGTCTATTAAGGAACAACACCAGGTCAGCAAATAATCCATTTTGTAACAAGTTGAAATTACTTTATATGCTGAGCAGAGACCCTTTCGTTGTATTTTTCCTCTCTGAAATGTTATTAAATGGCACAAACAAAAACATTCTTTTGCTCTTGTCTTAATTTTGAAGCTGGTTGTCAGATTACCAGTTTGGCGGTCCAGTAGTCAAAAGTGAAGGGTTCGTTAGGACTAAATTCGGTGTAAATTAGGTATCTGGGTCAACCAAAGCATGACTACCATTTCAGGAAGATTTTATGGTCATGGTTCCAGGGCCTGAAATGATTTTTCTAAGAGCTTGCATAAAATAAAGTCAAATCAATGGAAATTAAAACAATTATCAAAGGAATAAAGGCACATTATTTTAACATAAAAAAACATAAAAAAATTTAAAAATCTGGAAGAGTTTATAATGAAACAAAAATTCTCTTGCCACACCAATTTCTACCCCAGGTCTACTCCCTAGGCAATAACTTTTAATTTTTTTTAAGATTTTATTTTTATTTTTTTAAAGATTTTTTTATTTATTTGACAGAGAGAGAAAGAGCACAAGCAGGGGAAGTGGCAGGCAGAGGGAGAGGGAGAAGCAGGCTCCCCACCCGGCAAGGAGCCCGATGTGGGGCTCAATCCTAGGACACTGGGATCATGACCTGAGCCGAAGGCAGAGGCTTCCCGGACTGGGCCACCCAGATGCCCCTTAAGATTTTATTTTTAAGTCATCTCTACATGCAACATGGGACTCAAACTCACAACCATGAGATCAAGAGTCAAATGCTCTTCTGACTGAACCAGCCAGGCGCCCCTTAATTTTTTTGACAAGTTTTTTTTGGGGGGTTCCTTTACTGGTAGTTTCCTCCATATTTCTAAATAACATGACTGCATATACTATTTATTTTCATTTTAAAAATCATCTGACTTCCTGCTTTCATAGATGAAGATTTAGTTCACTTACACCCACATTTTCACTTCTCTCCATCCTCTCAATATAGTTTACAACACTTTATTTATGTTTTCTATTGTTACATAAGGTAGGCTATACTGCAGTAACAAATAATCCCAAAAACCCTTAGTGGCTTACAGTCACTAAAGTCTGATCCTCACACTACATTTCCATTGCCGATTGCCTGGGGGGTTCTTCTCCACACCTCAGTGATCATCCTCCTTCTAGGGCCCAGACTGCATAGTCACCGTTATTAGTGTAAATCAGTTACAGCAATTAACCTCCCTCTTGCTGGCGATTGGTTTAGGAATCCAGGCTTAAGCCGATCACAGTTGACAGACCCTGTGATGATAGTTATTCATAAGTTCAGGGGCAAACGATGACCAATGGGGACGCCAGCAAGACTGAAATGAAGGATTTTTAGTTTATGTCTTTCCCATTGGATGTGAATAAGTCTGTACATAGTGATTGCTACAAGCAGCCTTCTTACAATCACAGGAGAAACCAGCCCTAGGCTGAATTGGACACTTTAAAGGAGGGGCCAATGAAACTGAGCCCTTCATGAAATTGTGCAGCTGCTGAAATCAACTAACCTTGCCGCACACACTCTCAGGGTTCTATTGTGTGAGGTAAGACACTATTTTATTGTGTAAGCCAGCTTGTTAACATGTACCTGAAAGCACTCTGATACCAAATACTTTTTCTTTTTTTTTAAAGAGAGGGAGAGTGAGAGTGCACGTGCGAGTGCACCTGCGCAGTGGGGGCTGAGTGGGGAGGGGGGGCGCCGAGGGAGTCAGAGAGAGAGTATCTTAAACAAGCTCGACTCCCAGTACCGAGAGCGGATGCAGGGGCTCAATCTCACGACCCCGAGATCATGACCTGAGCCGAAATCAAGAGTCTGACGCTTCACCAACTGAGCCACCCAGGCGCCCCACCAAATACTTTTTCTTAATTATATTCTTGTGTAAGTGATTTAAGTTGCTCCCTTGTGAGCCCAAACATATATCTCCAGGGTTCACGACCTTACATCTGGGAAGTTAGATAAAAATCAGCTTCTTGCTCCTGACTCCTTCACTCTGACCCGAGGTCATCCTCTCTGGTCAGTAACATTCTTTCCTGAATAAGAGAGGAAAAGGGGATGTCAGTTTTTATAGAATGGCTATTATGGGCTGGGCACTTTGCTAGAGGCTTTAAAACACAATCTCATTTACTCTGAATAGCTCTGTACCTGTGACATGGGTGAGGATACTGATGATCAGGGAAGTACGGTCACCAAGTAGTAGATGGTAGAGCTGGGGTCCAGAGCAAGGGAGTCTATGTCAAAACTGGTGCCCCTAATCAGGGGACTCTTTTGTCTCGTTCCCTTACCTTCAGTCAGGTCACTAGGTCCAAACCTCTCTTTGAGGTTCCTTTTTCTCTGGAAATTATCCCACTGAGTACATCGTATCTGAGCTCTCTCTCCACGCCCCCCCCCCCCCCCCGCCCCGCCAGCCCCAAGCAAGCTTCTGGAGTGCGTTGTTCTTTCTGCCTTGACATCCAATATCACTCAGGCTCAACACTAATACCACCCAGCCATATGTATCTTTACTCCCTGGGAGAAAAAGGAGCATTTGACATGCATTTTTGGCCAATTTAGATTAGTTTGTATACAGTAATGGAGTTCACTAACTTTTTAGGATCTCCCCCTTTGCAACTTCCCTAAAATAGAAGAAGATATGTTTAAAGTCATGGGATTAAAAATTGAATTTTAATTACAAAATGTTTCTGGAGGAGCATCTTGGCATATCTCTCAACCGCTCCTCCTAGTGGCTCCCCACTTGGATTGCTCCCAAGGATGTCTTTTCCTAGGCTCAGAAAAAGCATTTAACAATGTCTTGTGAAACATACTTTTGGTTAAGTAAAGAAACTTTCATACTGTATGGCTAGAAGAGTCCTCCAGTAGTTCTTACAATATACCATGTTCTTCAAAATCACACTGAATATATCAATAGAACAAAGGATGAAAATCACATGATCATCTCAATAGGCACAGAAAAAGCATTTGAAAAAATTCAATACCCTTTTCATGGTAAAAATGCTCAACAAACTAGGAATAGAACAGAGCTTCCTCACTCCGATAAAGGACATCTATGAAAACCCCACAGCTAACATCATACTCAGTGTTGAAAGACTGAACGCTTTACCCCTAAGATCAGGAACAAGACACTTTTATTCCATATTGTACTAGAGGTTTCAAGCTAGGACAATTAAGCAAGAAAATAAAACAAAGGACATCTAGATTGGAAAAGAATACATAAAAATATTTTTGTTTACAGGTCATATGATCTTGTATAAAGACAATCAGAAGGAGTCCACGAAAAAGAGCTATTAGGGCTAATAGTTCAGCAAAGTTGCAGGATACAAAAATGAAATACAAAAATCAATCACACTTCTATGAACCATCAATTAAAAAATCCAAAATGAGGGGCGCCTGGGTGGCTCAGTCAGTTAAGCATCTGCCTTCGGCTCTGGTCTTGATCCCAGGGTCCTGGGATTGAGTCCCATATCGGGCTCCCTGCTCAGCGGGGAGCCTGCTTCTCCCTCTGGCTGCCGCTGTCCCTGCTTATGCTCTCTGTCTCTGACAAATAAATAAAATCTTTAAAAAAAAATCCAAAATGAAAGTAACAAAGTAATTTCATTTCCAAGAGCATCAGAAAGAAGACAATATTTAGGTGAAAATATAACAAAGTGCTAAACTTATACTCTGAAAACTGCAAAACGTTGAAAGAAATTAAATAAATGGAAAGATATAAATGGAAATAAATGGAAAGATATCCTGTGGTTCATGGATTGGAAGACTTATTAATATTGGTAAGAGGGCAATAACTCCCAAATTGATCTATAGATTCAATGCAATTCCTTTCAAAAATCCCAGACGTCTTTTTTTTTTTTGAAACCGAAGAACTGACCGCCAAATTCATATGGAAATGTAATAAAATAGCCAGAACAATCTTAAAAGAGAAGAACAAAGTTGGAAACCTCACACTTCTTGATTTCAGAAGTTACTACAAAGTGTATATATATAGTAAATAAGACAGTGTTGGGCACCTGGGCGGCTCAGTTGGTTGGGTGTCTGCCTTCGGCTCAGATCGTGATCCCAGGGTCCTGGGATCAAGTCCCGCACCAAGCTCCCTGCTCTTCGGGGAGCCTGCTTCTCCCTCTGCCTCTGCCTTTCTCTCTGTCTCTCATGAATAATTAAATAAAAATCTTTTTTAAAAAAGACAGTGTTGTACTGGCGTAAGGGTAGACATACATCAATGGAATAGAATTGAGAGTATAGAAGTAAATGCTCACATTTACAGTCAAATTATTTTTGACAAGGGTACCAAGACGATTCAGTGGAGAAAGAATAGCCTTTTATTTTTTTCAGTTTTTATTTAAATGTCAGTTAGTTAGCATACAGCATAATATTAATTTCACGTGCTCAATATAGTGATTCAGCACTTCATACAACACCCGGTGCTCATCACAAGTGCCTTCCTTAATGCCCATTACTTATTTAACCCATCCTCCCCCCCCTACCTCCCCTCTGGTAACAATCAGTTTGTTGCACTACTAGGTATTTACCCAAAGAATACATACTAATTCAGAGGGATACATGCACCCCAGTGTTTATAGCAGCATTATCTACCATAGCCAAATTATGGAAATAGCCCAAGTGTCCATCAACTGATGAATGGATAAAGAAGATGTGGTATATATATAACAATGGAATGTTACTCAGCCATCAAAAAGAATGAAATCTTGCCATTTGCAATGACATGGATGGAGCTAAAGAGTATTACGCTAAGTGAAATAAGCCAGTCAGAGAAAGACAAACACCATATGATTTCACTCATATGTGGAATTTAAGAAACAAAACAAATGAGCAAAGGGAAAAAAGAGAGAGAGAGAGGCAAAGCAAGAAACAGACTCAACTACAGAGAACAAACTGATGGTCATCAGGGGGGAGGTAGGGAAGGGGAGAAGAAGACATCCAGATGGCCAACGGACACATGAAAAGATGCTCAACATCACTGATCATCAGCGAAATACAAATCAAAACCAGGATGAGGTACCACAT